GGGGGGGGCCTTTAAGGGAGTTAGTTGTGTACCCAGTGAGCCCCCCTCCCAGGTACTGGGTTGCAAGTCCGAGGCAAGCTGATGCCATGCCCCAGCAGACCATGTGACTGGTCGACCCTTCGTGGCGATCAAGCACTGCTTCCCACTGCAGGCCAGCGCTGGGGTGGGGGGCTGCACACGAGGGAGAAGGAAAAAAACAACCACGCTCACTGGCATGGTCCCCAACTGGGAAGGAGAAAAACACGCCCCACACACCAGAGCCTGGGGGGCCCAGGCTAGTCCATTCTGTGTGCTCCAGCCCCACAGCAGGGCAGAGGGCGGGCTCCCCAATGCTGGGGGAGGGCCTTGAGCCTTGGGGGCTGGATCCAGGCAAGCTGGGGGCCACATCCTCCCCACCCAAGCCTGAGGTTCCCCACCCCTGCACGACGCAGTCAGGCTGACGAAAGCAGTGTGAAGAAAAGCTTCCTTTGGTTTGTTTTAAATCCGCTGCCTCTTCATGTCACTGGGTGGCCCCTAGTTCCTGTATTAACACCACCACCTCCCCCAGCGGCACGCGGGCATCGGGGCCACGCGGTGTCGGCGCAAAGGCCGGGGCGCTGACAGCAACTGCTGCTTTCAGGACCCACCCCACGACGGCTCCGCTCGGACAGCACGACCGGCACAAGCATTCCTGGGGCGGACACGAACCACTGCCGCGAGGCGCCAAGCGTGCATGCGCACACGTGACTTAGTCACTGCCGTGCCTCCGGACATGAAGCCAAGGTCATTCCACAGTGTAGACGTGACCTAACCCTTTGTCAGTTTCAATGCAGCTTGCCGCAGCCATGCCCCGGTGGGACGGGCTGAATTCCCGGGCACTTTCTTCAGGTTTCCCTGCCTTGCAGCTGAGGCTGCCAACGACAGGGCAAGCTGAGTGGGTCTGCAGTGATGGGGCGTCTGTCCGGCGAGCACCGGAAGGAGAAGGGGAACAGGCAGATGACAGCAGAGTCGGGGAGCATGAAGATCTGGGAATGCACAAAGCCTCCCAATACAGTGTCTAAAAACTGGGGCCCATGGGCCAGTGAACACGGCTCCTCTAGTGTGGCACATCCAGCATTCCCCCTCCCACTACTCAAACAACCCGCCACGGGGGCCGTGGGGCAATCAACTAGCCGCACGTTGGAAACCAGCCGCCAGAGCAGGGAGCTGCAGTGGGAGTCTGTCCAGTGTGCAGGGAAGTGGACTGAGTTACGTGTCCTGTGTTTAATTGCTGTACGACCCCCGGATTACTGGGGGAAACAGCTCCCAGCTCTTGGGAACCACAGTGCTAAGTATGATCAGGTAGAAAATCCACTCTGGCTAATACTGCCCTCTGCTGGTGAGTGTTAATAACAAATTCCCTTCCAGTTTGCTGCAAGACCAGAGGTCTTCCTTCACTCTTCCACAACACAGGAGCACAAGGCACCCAGGAAACCAGAGTCCAGATTCCAAGGCAGGCACACCGCAGGCCCAGCAGGTAAGGTCGGGGAAAGCCATGTCACAGAAAGGCCTTAGCCAGCTACTGTTTTCAGTTCCCAATCTAACCCTGGAACATGTCTCAGGGGAAGCAAACCGGAAATCAAAGTCTTCAGACCGGCCCACGTTTGCATTAACGCCCAGTTTGTTTCCATGTTTTCCTGGGAACATCTTTCTTTGTGGTCGGGTCACCTCCTACAGTGGCTCCGACGTGCTGGCTGGCTGTGGCACGTTCATGCGCACGAGAGACAGACACAAAGCCCTTCACCTCCAGCGCCGCACCCCCAGCCCACCGAAGCGAAGAACAGTGACAGTAGAGAAAGGAAGCTTACTGTACCTCGGGACTTACTGTGTGTTTCTTAGTCATACGCCACAGAACGCAGGTCAGGAGCATGTGAAGCAGGGCCGAGGTGATAAAGAGAATGAAGGCGTTTTCGTGGATTGCTGCATCGACAAAACAGGTTTCCCGTTAATGCTGAGCATGGAAATAAGCCAAAGGGAGCTGCCCGAGGGATGCTGGGGAGGCCACGGAAAGGTGAAGTCCGCATGCATTACAAGGGCCGGGAAGGCTTGGAAGGCTTGGAGGAGCTGGGTCAGTATTAGGGATGTTAAAAAGCAGGTAACTGGGTTACCATGTAACCATTGAAAATTTCAGCAGTTACAGATGGGGAAACTGAGGCACAGAGAAGTTTGGTCACTTCTCCAGTAAGCCATGGATGGAACTAGGCAGAGAACCCTGGACTCTGCGCACCCAGCTCCTTGAGCTAACCGCCAGGCAGCAGACAGCAAGCGAATCAAAGCGAGGATCTCTCTGGGTCACTGTCAGCACATGGATTCCGAGGCAGGATGGAAACATAACCCTGACTGACCCCTTTCAGAAACGCTGCCGGTTCGAGCAGCGGCACTGCAGGTGTTTTCACACCCCCTCCTCAGCAAAGCCCCGGGGATTTAATAACATAAGTGGTTCAAATTAAGACAAAAAAAACCCAATCCTTTCCCTAGGGATGTCAATGGGTAGTTGAGTACACGATTAACCGATAAGCCTGGGTTTATCCGTTAATCTTACTGACTATTCGCACCCCCCTCCTTGCTGCCTCTGTATCAGGAGCACCAGATATGCAGAGCTGCCTGCCCCTCCCACGCCACGCTGCTGCCTCTGATAGAGAGGCAGCAATGTGGAGGGTGAGGGAGGTGGGGAGGAGATGGTACATGTAGGAAGCCGGCTTTCAGGTCAGCTCCCCATGCATATTGGCTCACGCGAGCTGCTTGCCCCATCCCCTGAGCTGCTGCCTTTCTATCACAGGCAGCAGTGTGGGGGGGTGGGGAGTCGATGCGCGTGGGGAACCGTCTTTTAAGATACAGAAGCAGCAGGGCGGAGTGGCAGGGGCCTCCCCAGGAATGGGGCCAGGAGCGCACTGGCAGCTGGCCCTGCCCCTGGGGATTATTGAATAGTCGTGTATCTGATAATATTGTATGTGGTTATACGACTATTCCCTACCTTTCCTCACAAACCCACCAAGCAGCACCCGCAGCCTTGCACGTACAACCCTGCAACACCAGAGGCATGTGGCTGTCTCATTCCAGGATAAAAGAAGCCCGGCCGGGCCTGGGGTGCGTGTTTATAAACTGCAAATTCATGGTGAAAAATAACCTTGGAGATCCCTTGCCGGACACGATCCAACAACACCTGCTTTCATTTCAGTAGGAACCAGGGAGCCGGTGAATGCTAAGGACAGCCCATCATGACGGGGGCTGGGAGAACTAGTAAGAAGTTCAGTTTGTGCTGGGAACACAGAGGCCAAGACGCCCCCAGGTCTCCCAGGCCCATACTCACAGTGCCCTCTGGGGAAAGCCACAGCGGCGTAAGATTTGCGGGGAATGTGCGGCCCAGGGCTCTGCAGCACACAGAGACAGGCCGCCCTCGAGGGACGCTCGAGCCTGCTGGGAAGGTTGCTGGTGGCATGTGCAGCCGCACGGAAGCTTCAACGAAGCAAACCATCACTGCACTTTGAGGCCCCAGAACCCCACCTCGGAGTCACTGTCACGTCCGCCAGCCCCAGGGCCGCGAGGTCTAGACTCTCGCACACTCGGCCACACCTTTATGTGGCTAGTCACTTCTGCGCCCGCTTACCCCAGGAGAAGGGCACATTGGAGAAGAGCAGGGAGAGGAACATGCTGACTCGCTCTCGCTCCTTTATCCTTTCTCAGCCCCTTTTTCCCAAACTTGGCACATCCCTACTCCCTGTTTCAGGAACACGCCAGCTTTGCAGGGCTTCAGGGCTGTAACATCTCGGTTACTCGGTGAACTGGTTAAATGTCAGGCTAGCCAACCTTTAACCAGTTAGCTGACTAAAAGCGAGATGTGGCTCTAACTGGAGCAGCGCCCAGTTTTCGGGGCTCCCACCCCAGCCCTGTTCTGGGGCTGACTGCTGGCTCCCGGCTCCCGCGCTGGAGCTGCACCAGCTCCTAGCTATTGCCAGAGTGCCCGGGCTCCCCACAGACATTGGAGCAACCCTTACCTGCTGGATTTTCATAGTTTTGATTCATAATATGTTTAAGTATTTTTCCCATTTTTATCAATTTAAGTTTTCATTTGCAGAAAATTAAATGGGAAAGGGAGAATATTCCAGACAATTATTTAATGATAAAAGGCACTGTGACGGACTGGGCCGGGTGTAGGCATGGCTGAGGGCAGGAGCTCAAGGCAAATTGCTCAAAACCAGGGCTACTTACAGCCCTTGACTGGAGACTTTTCCCAAATAGGCCACAAACCAGTCACACCGAGCGCTTCAGCTGCCAATCCAGCCAGCAGGAAGCCTCACAAGCAAAATGCAACCAGTCAGGGCATAATGGCTGCCAGCATTTGAAACACAGACAGGTCACTTGACCATGTGACCCGCTCTGGCTTGGGAGATACCAGGGAGATATAAAAATGCCATGAGGCGGTTTCCATCTGGTCTTCAATTCTGCTGCTGATCCCAGATGCAGCCTTGTGAGGGACAGAGCCGGGGAAGGATTGCTGACCCATCCTGACAAAGGATGCACACCAGAGACTTTTAAGATAGCAGTTTGTAACATCTCCGCTGAGAACCTGCATCAAGAACTGGGTGATTGGTGCATCTCACGTATTCTCCTTAATAACCTTACTCTCAATCTTTTCTTTCTTGTATTAATAAACTTTTAGATTTTAGATTCCAAAGGACTGGCCCAGCGTGCTCTTGTGGGTAAGATCCAAAGTGTAAATTGACCGGGGATCTGTGGCTGGTTCTTTTGGACCAGGAGAACCCGTTCGGGGTAGGTGAGATCGGGTTCTATAACCCCTCACCTGTGTGTTAGGCCCAGGACTGATTGTGGCACAGGGAGAGCTGGGGTGTGTGATGGGTTTTGCTCGTGAGGCTTCCTGCTGGCTGGATTGGCAGCTGGAACGCTCGGTGTGACTGGTTGGTGACCTGTTTGGGAAAGGTCGCCTATTTAGGGCTGTAAGCAGCCCTGGTTTTGAGCAATTCGCCCTGAGCACACGCCCTTAGCGGTGCCCAGACCTGGCCCGGTCCGTCACACCTTTCTCCAGAGACCAGGAGCTGCAGCCATGCAAGCTTTCTCCTTCTCCTGGAGGCAACCCGGCCTGGGCGGGATGCCTGCCGGCTTGAGAGGGAGGTTAGTTCGGGACTTGGCTCTCTGCAAGAGGCTTCCAGCAACAGGGCTACCTGGGCTAGATTCAGACTCATGAGCTAGAGAGGCCATAAATGGGGTCACTGCAATACTTCAGCAGCTGGCTCGCAAATGGCAGCACAAATCTAGCTCCAATGTCCTTCCCCAGACCTGCGCAGCTCTGTGTAGCTCCAACGCTTGCATCTTCCACCAGCAAGAGTTGGTCCAGTAAAAGCTATTACCTCACCCACTCTGCGTCTCTCGTCTCCGCGACCAACCCGCTGCAACACTGCAAACAATCTGCTGGTGCGACAGAGGGCCATCTCCTGCAATGCCCTGGCCAAACCGCACTGAATGAAGTTTCAGTGGCTTAGCAGTTCGTTGTATTAAAATCGGGCAAATATTTGTGTCGTATTGTGAGAGTAAGTAACGTCTCTAGGGAGGAGACCTGACAATGTATCCTGGGACGCTTCAGAGGAAAAACTGAAAAGATGTGAGGCTTGAAATTGGGAGCTGAGACCCTCCATGGACAGGGGCTACTGCTGGAGCAGCCTCTGTTCCTGGCCAGCCCAGCCTGCCATGGACAGGGGCTACTGAGCAGTCTTGGCTCACGCTGGGTCTCGGACCACTGAGGCTCTGCATTTTAAATGTATTAAGAAGCAGGGCAGCTCTTACTACATTTAAAATGCTGAACTGCAGGGGGGGTAGCTCCTGGACCTGGCATGAGCCAGGACAGAGCACCTTCTCTTACCGATTAATTGTGTAGTCGATACAAATTGTGTCGACTACACAATTAGCCAATTACCCACCTCTTAACATCCTTATTTAGGAGCTTAAAGGGCACTAACGCTCCCATTCTGCTGACCTGTTTCTCCTGAACAACAACAGAGGGTGGCATAATAAGAAGTTGTCTTTACACACAACTCCTCAACACCAAGCCAGGGCCCAGTTGCCCTGTTCTACCACCTGAACCTGCTGGGAAAAACCGGCACCACTGAAACCCCTAAGGAACATCCCATTGAGTTTGGTGAGCGTGGGTTGCCTCTCCAACATGTATTACCACCGTATTACTCCCCATTGCACCGGCTGTTACGGCCAAGTGCCAACCCCTCACCCAGCCTTCCTGACAATTGCGCCAGCCACCAAGGATGGGCCCTCGTCACCATCATCAAGTCACGCTCCATCCCGATCTGACTTCCAGAAGGACAGCTGCTCTCTGCCTCCACGGCTCTGCTCATCTCGCTGAGAGCCACTGCACCATCCGAGGATTCTATTTGGAAATGTGCCTGTACAGAAACGACTCCTTCTTCCCATCTGCACTCGGTGAAACCCGCCTTCTCGTCCACCTGCTTCCCCTGCTGTATGCAGGCAGCCGGCCACAGCACCTCTCATTCCAGACTGGGTTCCCCGCCACCTTCCCACACCTAGCCACTTGCACCTGTTGGCCCAGTTGGAAACAGTGGGCTGTTTTCATTCCGGGCGGAACTCCACTGAAGTCAACAGCATTACACCGGGGATGAACAGGGCCCACTGGGTTATCACAGGAGTAACCGAGGCCTGAATTTGACTTGCAGAATCTTTATTACTGGTGCAGAACAAGCAAGTCAGAAAGAACTCAGATCCCAGGCTGGCTGTCAGAAAAATTGACACAAACACTAGACACAAAGGCTAAAGCTGCCAGCCCTCTAGGACTGGACTGGCGTTTCCAGGAATTAAAGATTAAGCATGAATTAAAAACTGTGTCATGCGTTCAAATCTCCAGGAATACACCCAACCAAAACTGGCAACTCTAATAAAGAGCCACTGTGCCATTCTTACAGGGCTGTTGACTACACTAGCCGGTCTCTGCACCTCAAAATTAAACCATGGCTAACCACGGTGAGTTAGACCAACATTTTCACACGTGGAAAGAGATGGGAGAAGCGCAGCTCCAAGCCTTCCATATACGCATAGACACACATACACACATACCCACGCACATGCACACACACAGGCTGCAGGTGGCTTTAACGTAAAACAAAACACAACTTCATGAGACAACACACAGGAAATTATCAGAGAGAAAGCTATAAGCAAGTAGAGAAGGAATCAGCATAGAAGACAGAATCTACCTGAACTGAGGTGAGAATGGGTCATTTTACTTTCAAAAGTTTCTTATTGTAATGGGGCAAAGTGGCAAAAATGGGGAACAAGATCTGAGCGCACACTTGTGACTGAAGAAATCCTAAATTCTAATCTCATCTTAACTCCCTGTGCGATCTTGGCCATGTCGCACCCTTACCATGATGATCAACTAGTTAACTTACAAGTCCCTGGTATTTTCATTAATACAGGGGGCTCTGATTTTCACAGAACATGTGCATTTTTGTTTACTCCTCGACACGCGATCTCAAAAATAAGCACTTAAAAAAAATGGGACCCAAGACTGCAGAACCCCAACTGTTACAACCCAGAGAATCAGCACAGCACGCAGTAGCAACCTACCATAGTTTTCTGAGGAAGACACGTAGGTCAGCAAAAGGAGAGCAACGTTTTCGAGCACATTGAGGATGAAGTTGATGTGGCACAGCCGCGGGTAGCGAGGGTGCGGGCAGTGGCAGCTGTGGTAGTGGTTCCAGTATGCAATGGCCACCAGGAAGCGGGGCGCCGAGTGGAGGCCAATGCAGAAACGCCAGACGTAGCGCTGAGGTGTCTCGCCGCCGATCGCGGCACTGACAGAGGGCAGGTAATTGGGGACCTGGGAGGAAAATGACAGTTTGGGGAAGAGACACTGGGACTGTGTATTAGAATCGCATTTCCAGCTTTCTACGATGCCAGAGTGCTTAACAAGGGCAAAGTCTTTTTCTAGCTCACAGATCAGGAAACTGAGGCTACATGTACACTACAGCGGGGATCAATGCGGTGAGATCAACCCACTAGTAGTTGATTTAGTGGGTCTAGTGGAGACCCGCCAAATCGACTGCAGATTGCTCTGCAGTCAACCCCTGTATTCTACCTACTATGAGAAAAGTAAGGCAGGTCGATGGGAGTGTTTCTTCCATTAACCCCCTGCAATGTAGACCACGCAGTAATTTGACCTAAGGTACAGTGACTCCAGACACGTTATTCACATAGCTGCAATTGCATGCCTTAGGTCAAATTTTTGCGGTATTGGAGACATAGGCTGAGGAACAGAGGAGAGTAATTGGTTCAAATTTAAACAGCAAATGAACAGAGAAGCCAGGAATAAAACACAATACTTCTGATGCTCCGGTCTCCTACTCTACTCACTAGATAACACTGCCCTTCTCTGAGAAATCACATATTTAACAGATTTTGCTTTTGGGGTCTAGTGAGTCTCTTTAAGGTCTCCACCAAGCTGCAGACACATACACCGCAGTGAGTGGCTGTCGTTTCCATGAAGTGGAACAGCAGAGACCAGATCACGCAGAAAAGGAATCCAAACAGCGGGCAACACACGGTCCCAATAGCCAGGGTGGTAAAGCGGAGCTGGAAGAGGATCCCATCTCGATCCAGAGGCAATGGCACCTGAAACATGTTGCTGGACCTGAAAGCAAGAAGCCACTATTTGAAGACTGTCCCTCCTCTTACTGCAACATTCACCTCCAAGAGCACTTCAGCAGGTAAAATGCATATAACTGCAACAGGTTGTTAGCCAATACATATGGGTTATGTACTGGGACACTGAGACAGTGACGATTAAACTACCATACTAAAGTGATCCAGATCAGCCTTTAAGAAAATATTAGAGATGTAATGAAAGTGTAAAGATGACCATTTCCTGTAGATAATGATCAAATTATTCAGTCCACTTATAAGTGGACTGAATAATTCTGGCAAAGCTCCGAGCCGGAAAAAAGCGGCAGCCATTTTTATGCTAATGAAGCGGGGGGGATTTAAATCCCTGCTTCATTTGCAATTGCGATATGTCTAATTTGCATCCCTTTTATGAAAAAGGGATGCAGTCTAGACACAGCCTTCATGTCTAAACATAGAGACAGTTCACTAAAGACTGCAGCATTCACATGATAAATAGTGCTCCCTGCACGTTACTGGATTTTAAGGGAATCAGATGGGTCTCTGCTGCACCAAAGGGGGGGGCGTTGCCCTAAAATATATACAAAGGGGGCCATGTGAGATGTCAAATGAAAGCTTATGGTCTACTGATTTTATGTATGTTATTCATGTACTTTTGTGATAGCTGTATGTGGAGTTATAAATATGTACTCTGTCTTGATTCTGTAAGATTCTGTCTGAGACAGAGCAATGGGCCAGGAATGTTCAGTCAGTAACTATGCTAATTAGCAAGGCTCCAGGGACAAGGCTCTCAGAGAGGCCAATACACACCTGATGAATGTGTCTGGAACCTGCAAACCAACAAATATCATGACTGCTGACATGGGACACAGGGATAGGTCATTGGGCAATGTGACCTGCTCCAGCTTCGAAGATATCAGGGATGGATATAAAATGCTATGAGGTGGACTCCATTTTGTCTTCAATTCTGCTTCTGATCCCAGATGCAGCCTTGTGAGGGACAGAGAGCCAGGAAGAATCGTGGACCCGTCCTGACATAGGATGTACACCAGAGACTTTTAAGCTAGCAGTTTATAATATCTCTGCTAAGAGCCTGCATCAAGAACTGGGTGATTGGTGCATCTCATGTATTTTCTTTAACAACCTTACTCTCAACCTTTTCTTTCTTTTATTAATAAACTTTTAGATTATAAAGGATTGGCCCAGCGTGATCTTGTGGGTAAGATCGGGGATCTGTGGCTGGTTCTTTTGGACCAGGAGAACCCGTTCGGGGTAGGTGAGATCGGGTTCTATAACCCCTCACCTGTGTGTTAGGCCCAGGACTGATTGTGGCACAGGGAGAGCTGGGGTGTGTGATGGGTTTTGCTCGTGAGGCTTCCTGCTGGCTGGATTGGCAGCTGGAACGCTCGGTGTGACTGGTTGGTGACCTGTTTGGGAAAGGTCGCCTATTTAGGGCTGTAAGCAGCCCTGGTTTTGAGCAATTCGCCCTGAGCACACGCCCTTAGCGGTGCCCAGACCTGGCCCGGTCCGTCACACCTTTCTCCAGAGACCAGGAGCTGCAGCCATGCAAGCTTTCTCCTTCTCCTGGAGGCAACCCGGCCTGGGCGGGATGCCTGCCGGCTTGAGAGGGAGGTTAGTTCGGGACTTGGCTCTCTGCAAGAGGCTTCCAGCAACAGGGCTACCTGGGCTAGATTCAGACTCATGAGCTAGAGAGGCCATAAATGGGGTCACTGCAATACTTCAGCAGCTGGCTCGCAAATGGCAGCACAAATCTAGCTCCAATGTCCTTCCCCAGACCTGCGCAGCTCTGTGTAGCTCCAACGCTTGCATCTTCCACCAGCAAGAGTTGGTCCAGTAAAAGCTATTACCTCACCCACTCTGCGTCTCTCGTCTCCGCGACCAACCCGCTGCAACACTGCAAACAATCTGCTGGTGCGACAGAGGGCCATCTCCTGCAATGCCCTGGCCAAACCGCACTGAATGAAGTTTCAGTGGCTTAGCAGTTCGTTGTATTAAAATCGGGCAAATATTTGTGTCGTATTGTGAGAGTAAGTAACGTCTCTAGGGAGGAGACCTGACAATGTATCCTGGGACGCTTCAGAGGAAAAACTGAAAAGATGTGAGGCTTGAAATTGGGAGCTGAGACCCTCCATGGACAGGGGCTACTGCTGGAGCAGCCTCTGTTCCTGGCCAGCCCAGCCTGCCATGGACAGGGGCTACTGAGCAGTCTTGGCTCACGCTGGGTCTCGGACCACTGAGGCTCTGCATTTTAAATGTATTAAGAAGCAGGGCAGCTCTTACTACATTTAAAATGCTGAACTGCAGGGGGGGTAGCTCCTGGACCTGGCATGAGCCAGGACAGAGCACCTTCTCTTACCGATTAATTGTGTAGTCGATACAAATTGTGTCGACTACACAATTAGCCAATTACCCACCTCTTAACATCCTTATTTAGGAGCTTAAAGGGCACTAACGCTCCCATTCTGCTGACCTGTTTCTCCTGAACAACAACAGAGGGTGGCATAATAAGAAGTTGTCTTTACACACAACTCCTCAACACCAAGCCAGGGCCCAGTTGCCCTGTTCTACCACCTGAACCTGCTGGGAAAAACCGGCACCACTGAAACCCCTAAGGAACATCCCATTGAGTTTGGTGAGCGTGGGTTGCCTCTCCAACATGTATTACCACCGTATTACTCCCCATTGCACCGGCTGTTACGGCCAAGTGCCAACCCCTCACCCAGCCTTCCTGACAATTGCGCCAGCCACCAAGGATGGGCCCTCGTCACCATCATCAAGTCACGCTCCATCCCGATCTGACTTCCAGAAGGACAGCTGCTCTCTGCCTCCACGGCTCTGCTCATCTCGCTGAGAGCCACTGCACCATCCGAGGATTCTATTTGGAAATGTGCCTGTACAGAAACGACTCCTTCTTCCCATCTGCACTCGGTGAAACCCGCCTTCTCGTCCACCTGCTTCCCCTGCTGTATGCAGGCAGCCGGCCACAGCACCTCTCATTCCAGACTGGGTTCCCCGCCACCTTCCCACACCTAGCCACTTGCACCTGTTGGCCCAGTTGGAAACAGTGGGCTGTTTTCATTCCGGGCGGAACTCCACTGAAGTCAACAGCATTACACCGGGGATGAACAGGGCCCACTGGGTTATCACAGGAGTAACCGAGGCCTGAATTTGACTTGCAGAATCTTTATTACTGGTGCAGAACAAGCAAGTCAGAAAGAACTCAGATCCCAGGCTGGCTGTCAGAAAAATTGACACAAACACTAGACACAAAGGCTAAAGCTGCCAGCCCTCTAGGACTGGACTGGCGTTTCCAGGAATTAAAGATTAAGCATGAATTAAAAACTGTGTCATGCGTTCAAATCTCCAGGAATACACCCAACCAAAACTGGCAACTCTAATGAAGAGCCACTGTGCCATTCTTACAGGGCTGTTGACTACACTAGCCGGTCTCTGCACCTCAAAATTAAACCATGGCTAACCACGGTGAGTTAGACCAACATTTTCACACGTGGAAAGAGATGGGAGAAGCGCAGCTCCAAGCCTTCCATATACGCATAGACACACATACACACATACCCACGCACATGCACACACACAGGCTGCAGGTGGCTTTAACGTAAAACAAAACACAACTTCATGAGACAACACACAGGAAATTATCAGAGAGAAAGCTATAAGCAAGTAGAGAAGGAATCAGCATAGAAGACAGAATCTACCTGAACTGAGGTGAGAATGGGTCATTTTACTTTCAAAAGTTTCTTATTGTAATGGGGCAAAGTGGCAAAAATGGGGAACAAGATCTGAGCGCACACTTGTGACTGAAGAAATCCTAAATTCTAATCTCATCTTAACTCCCTGTGCGATCTTGGCCATGTCGCACCCTTACCATGATGATCAACTAGTTAACTTACAAGTCCCTGGTATTTTCATTAATACAGGGGGCTCTGATTTTCACAGAACATGTGCATTTTTGTTTACTCCTCGACACGCGATCTCAAAAATAAGCACTTAAAAAAAATGGGACCCAAGACTGCAGAACCCCAACTGTTACAACCCAGAGAATCAGCACAGCACGCAGTAGCAACCTACCATAGTTTTCTGAGGAAGACACGTAGGTCAGCAAAAGGAGAGCAACGTTTTCGAGCACATTGAGGATGAAGTTGATGTGGCACAGCCGCGGGTAGCGAGGGTGCGGGCAGTGGCAGCTGTGGTAGTGGTTCCAGTATGCAATGGCCACCAGGAAGCGGGGCGCCGAGTGGAGGCCAATGCAGAAACGCCAGACGTAGCGCTGAGGTGTCTCGCCGCCGATCGCGGCACTGACAGAGGGCAGGTAATTGGGGACCTGGGAGGAAAATGACAGTTTGGGGAAGAGACACTGGGACTGTGTATTAGAATCGCATTTCCAGCTTTCTACGATGCCAGAGTGCTTAACAAGGGCAAAGTCTTTTTCTAGCTCACAGATCAGGAAACTGAGGCTACATGTACACTACAGCGGGGATCAATGCGGTGAGATCAACCCACTAGTAGTTGATTTAGTGGGTCTAGTGGAGACCCGCCAAATCGACTGCAGATTGCTCTGCAGTCAACCCCTGTATTCTACCTACTATGAGAAAAGTAAGGCAGGTCGATGGGAGTGTTTCTTCCATTAACCCCCTGCAATGTAGACCACGCAGTAATTTGACCTAAGGTACAGTGACTCCAGACACGTTATTCACATAGCTGCAATTGCATGCCTTAGGTCAAATTTTTGCGGTATTGGAGACATAGGCTGAGGAACAGAGGAGAGTAATTGGTTCAAATTTAAACAGCAAATGAACAGAGAAGCCAGGAATAAAACACAATACTTCTGATGCTCCGGTCTCCTACTCTACTCACTAGATAACACTGCCCTTCTCTGAGAAATCACATATTTAACAGATTTTGCTTTTGGGGTCTAGTGAGTCTCTTTAAGGTCTCCACCAAGCTGCAGACACATACACCGCAGTGAGTGGCTGTCGTTTCCATGAAGTGGAACAGCAGAGACCAGATCACGCAGAAAAGGAATCCAAACAGCGGGCAACACACGGTCCCAATAGCCAGGGTGGTAAAGCGGAGCTGGAAGAGGATCCCATCTCGATCCAGAGGCAATGGCACCTGAAACATGTTGCTGGACCTGAAAGCAAGAAGCCACTATTTGAAGACTGTCCCTCCTCTTACTGCAACATTCACCTCCAAGAGCACTTCAGCAGGTAAAATGCATATAACTGCAACAGGTTGTTAGCCAATACATATGGGTTATGTACTGGGACACTGAGACAGTGACGATTAAACTACCATACTAAAGTGATCCAGATCAGCCTTTAAGAAGATATTAGAGATGTAATGAAAGTGTAAAGATGACCATTTCCTGTAGATAATGATCAAATTATTCAGTCCACTTATAAGTGGACTGAATAATTTGAAATGCAAACCATACGGTCAGGAAATAAAAAGTAAACACTAATTGTATTTGTGCTTACCTATATGTTAGGAGTTCAACAGTGTGATCTAATCAGCACACAGATGCTAGGAGTCAGTTCCTGTCTGTAATATTTCATTATTATATACTATTGGTTCAGAGATCAAAAGGGAATATTAGCAAGTAGATGAAATAGGTGGTGTAACAATATCGTGGTCTGTATTTCAATATTAACTTTGTAGTATATCACCTGTGAATCTATGAACTGCCTAATACTAATTAATGTGTATACATAAGAAATAGGAATTGACTTCAAAGCAACAATGTATATTATCTATTCTTCATCCAAGAAAGGCATCCAAGAGGTTATTATAGCCTGCCAAAGATCTATACAATAATTCTATGTCCTGATCTTTTTGTCTCACATTGGCTTAAATGTTGTCAGAAGTTCAAGCTGGAAGACTGAGATCTCCAGGTACCCTGGACTATCCCCCGCAAATTCTTATGGAAAGAATTGAACAAATTCTATTCATGGACTGTTGATTGGGCCATAATCTATGGAACTGATTCTGGAAGAACTTTCTACAGATCAATTGCTCAACTATGAAACTGACTTAGGAAAGTTACTCATAGCTGTATGTATAACGGTCTTTAACCACATCTTCATTTAACTAATAAGAATTGTCAGTAAGTGTTGTATTTAGGTTAAAATCTGAAATAGTCACAGACCTGGTGAGTGATGTGTGCAATCTCTTGGGACTGGTAGAGCTTTATCTGTGGTGAAAAAGTTTTGAAGTGATCCTCACCACGTTCGACTTGGCTGCCTGGGTAGTAGCCCAGAGCTGAATTGCTTAAGGGAGATTGCATTTTGGGGCTTATTGGTAACTAGTAAGGAAGTAGAGAAGCTGTTTTGTTACCGGTGAGGCAAAACTGAAAAGGACCACCAGTTTTGGGGAATACCTGTCTCATTCTTTGCAGTTCGCCCTGATGAAGCACTCTCAGTAAGGCCTCTCCAGTCACTACAGTCTCTTATACACACACTTTCCCCGCCCTCCCAATATGAATAGGTATCATATGCATGGTATTAATCTAATAAATATGAGCTGGGTAATCATGCTAAATTGTACTATGCCTATTCTTGCTTGCTTTTGCAAAAGGAAAGGGTTCTCACACTTCATTGCATCCCTCTTCTGACAACAAAAACTACATTACCCACGGGATGGGGAGAGCATGAGCTCACCTGAGCCCCACTGCCCCAGGTGTGGGGGGCCTGTAACCTGAGCCCCACCATTAAAGGTTGAAGCGACTGGACTTTGGCTAGGGGCCCCAGCAAGTCTAACACCAGCCCAAGCAAGCCCATGAAAACAGTGCTGCGACCCACTCTGGGGTCCCCAGCCATTGTCTGAGAATTGCTGTGTCACGATGTCTCTTTCCCAATGCTCCAGGACAAACAGGCTGGCTGCGTCTAGACCGGCAAGTTTTTCCGCAAAAGCAGCCACTTTTGCGGAAAAACTTGCCAGCTGTCTACGCTGGCTGCTTGAATTTGCGCAAGAACACTGACGATCTAATGTAAGATTGTCAGTGTTCTTGCGCAAATACTATGCTGCTCCCGTTCAGGAAAAAGCCCTCTTGAGCAAATGTATTTGTGCAAGAGGGCCAGTGTAGACAGCTAAAAACTGTTTTGCGCAAAAAAGCCCTGATGGCGAAAATGGCGATCGGGGCTTTCTTGAGCAAAACCGCGTCTAGATTGGCACAGATGCTTTTCCGCAAAAAGTGCTTTTTTGCAAAAGCATCTGTGCCAATCTAGATGCTCTTTTCCGCAAAAGCTTTTAACAGAAAAACTTTTCCGTTAAAAGCATTTGCGGAAAATCATGCCAGTCTAGACGCAGCCGCTATGTCTACACGGGTGCTCTCTTGCGCAAGAAAGCTCTGATGGCCATTTTAACCATAGGGCTTTCTTGCACAAGAAATTCATGCTGCCTGTCTACACTGGCCTCTTGTGCAAGAACAGTTGCGCAAAAGGGCTTATTCCTGAGCTGGGGCAAGGGGCTAAAGGGCTTGAGTCAGCCTGTGGCATACCTGCTAGGTGTGAGCTGTAAGACTGGCCAAACCTGCCCCTTTTCTCCTGGCTATGTCTACACTGGGGCTGCATCTACATTGGCGTGATCTCGCGCAAAAGCAGCCGCTCTTGCGCAAAAACTTACTGCCTGTCTACACTGGCCGCGTGTTCTTGCGCAAGTCAACTGACGTTCTAATGTATGAAATCAGGGCTTCTTGCGCCAGCACTCTGACGCTCCCACTCAGGAATAAGCCCTCTTGCACAACTGTTCTTGCGCAAGAGACCAGTGTAGACAGGCAACATGAATTTCTTGCGCAAGAAAGCCCTATGGTTAAAATGGCCATCAGAGCTTTCTTGGCAAGAGAGCATCTACACTGGCATGGATGCTCTTGCACAAAAGCACATCTCTTGCACAAAGGCACATGCCAGTGTAGATGCTCTCTTCTGAAAGAGTTTTTGCATAAGAACTCTTCCGCAAAAGAGTTCTTGCGCAAGGTCATGTCAGTGCAGACATAGCCACAGAGTGTGGCACTGGGCTTTGACAAATACAAAAACTGCCCAAAGTTAGATTGCTACGTACCATAGGAGCTGAACAAGGAAACTGTCAGAAATGTGAATGCTTTGCAGTAGGGACTGTCTTCATGCCCCTTGACATTTTGAATTGAATATTCAAAACAAAAGATGGGAAAATACAGGGAGGCACCAAAGGCAACACTGGAGAATTAAATGTGTGACATGAACAACCTGGTAACCATGTAAACAGTAATGCTATTGAAGATGGCTTGTTGAGAGGGATATTTGGGCCCCCGCCGTCTGTAGAAGGGGATTGGACCATGCCACGAGAATCTGCTTCCTGGGAAGGATTTGTGTGGTATTAACACCTTCTCTCCCTCTACTGCGCTGCTCTCTCTTTAGACAATAAAGCTGTGTGAACTTGTTTTTTTGACTCTCAGTGTTGACATGCGGATCTAGTCAGTCAGCAGGCTATGCTGGGAGTCAATAAGGTATCAGTGACGGTTTAACTAATGGATTCTGGCAGCCCAAATAGTTAGCCAATGTTAGCATATGGGTTATGTACTGGGACACTGAGCCAGTGACGATTAAACTACCATACTAAAGTGATCCAGATCAGCCTTTAAGAAAATATTAGAGATGTAATGAAAGTGTAAAGATGACCATTTCCTGTAGATAACGATCAAATTATTCAGTCCACTTGTAAGTGGACTGAATAATTTGAAATGCAAACCATACGGTCAGGAAATAAAAAGTAAACACTAATTGTATTTGTGCTTACCTATATGTTAGGAGTTCAACAGTGTGATCTGATCAGCACACAGATGCTAGGAGTCAGTAGGCAGGTAAGGTCATACAGGGGTAGGCAGGTAAGGTCATACAGGGGTCAGCATATGAGCCTTTTATCTCTAAAAAAACATGCAGATGTTATCATGAGCTTTTGTGGGCGCAACCCACTTCTTCAGATGACTGGAATATTAGAACTCTGGTTCCAAGAATAAATAAGGGAAGGGAGGGGAAGGAGAGGAAAAAAAAAGGGAGAAGGAAAAAGAAAAACGAGAGAGAGTGAGTAAAGGAAGATGTCTGTTGGGATCTGTGCGAGTTTCTTTGTGCAGTTGACGGATTTCCACTCCACATGGCCGAATGCAGCGTCTTGCATGTTTAAAAGCTTCAGAGGGGTAGCTGAATTAGTCCGTAACTGGAAAAACTTAAAAAACAATGAATATTCTAGTAGCACCTTAGAGACTAACAAAACATGTAGATGGTATCATGAGCGCAACCCACTTCTTCAGACCGGACTTCTAATATTCCGATTATCTGAAGAAGCGGGTTGCGCCCACGTAAGCTCATGATACCATCTACATGTTTTGTTAGTCTCTAAGGTGCTACTAGAATATTCATTGTTTCTGAAGTTTTTCCTGTTACAGACTCGCTCGGCTACCCCTCTGAACCTTTTATCTCTGGAATCCTGTGCTCAAATTCTGCAGATCCAGGGCTGGTCTTTAAATACAAACAACAGGAACAATTTCTTGGCTCTCCAGGCTCAGCTAGTCACAGTTTAAGGTTCCCCTATGGCAGATGGGGTGAAAAAGCTACACCAAGCTAGCTACAACTTCTCTCCTCTGGCAAGGAACAGATTAGAAATAGATCATGCAAGCATATGGCCTAACTCCAAAGAGTTGTGCTGCCATCCCACTTAAGACAATGAGAGTTACAAGCGCTCGGCAATTCTCGGGATTCAGTCTCAAAATTGCCAATATGGGTCCCTGAAAATAGTAAGGCTGTCCCTGCCCTCTGCCATGTAAAATCGTGATAAACCCGTAAGGAGGCTAATTACCACACAGTGCAAGTCAGGGTGGGATTTAGCAGCTGGGACCTGAGCTGTGCTTCTCTCTGTCAGTTTCCACTTCAGGTCATAAGTTCTTTGGGTCAGGAACCCACCTCCTCAACTGACCACACTAAACACATGGCTGTGGTTCTGCTAACGAAATACTGTTTATTTATTTGTGCAACAATCTCATGGATGTCGCAGCTAGGGATGTAATAGAGTAGTCGATTAACTGATAAGCAAAAACAAAAGCTTATCGGTTAATGCTGTCAACTACACACATTTAAATGCAGAGCCGCCCAGCTCTTATTACATTGAAACTGCAGAGCCGTGGAGGGGTAGCTCCTGGACCTGAAGTGAGCCATGAGCTTTAACTTCTCTTACCCACTAATCATGTAATTGATAAAAAGTGTATTGACTACACGAATTAGCAAATTACCTGCTTCTTAACATCCCTAGTCGCAGCTGTATTCAAAGAATGACACTTCTATAGCTCAGCCTTCATGAGCGATGGAGCAATAGCCTCATAAACAATGGGGCAATAGTTAGTTTGGGACACAAAGGCATTACCTAAACTTGCTACGGTACATAGGATATAGGGAGCCACCAATGTTCCCTCTAATTTTTTCTGTCCATGTGTAAACTAATTTTGTTATATGCACTGAGGCATGTGCACATGCACACCACCAACAGAAACACATGCTGCTGGTTGTGTGCGCTCTACTCATCAGATGGGTGGCCTTTGAATCTCTCCTGGGTAGCTACCCAAGCACAGGGAACACCGGTAGCCATGTTCCACAGTGAAAGAGAGGCTGTGTCCACGCTACAGCTAGTAACTACACTCAGCAGTGAAAGATTCTGGTGGGTGGGGAGGGGATAACAGGAACATCAAGCGGCTAAAAATAGCAGTGTAGAACTGGAAGGCTCTTTTATAGCATGTAGATCATATACCCAAAGGTGGGCGTGTCTCTGCCCACCTAAGCTATTCACATCCATGCTAGCTTCACATCACTGCGCATGTAGGCATATCCTTAGAGGGGAGCAACTCACAACAATACATTCACATACATTCATAACATGACAATACATGCACAGAAGAGAGAACAACTAATCTAGTCTATCCTAGCCACCCTGGTGAATGCAGGATTGTTCTCCCCTGTCTATTCATGGCTTTGTCCAGTCCAGAAATCTCCACACTGACCAAAGCCTGTAGAAACTTAAAAAACAACGAATAGTCTAGCAGCATCTTAAAGACTAACAAAACATGTAGATGGAATCATGAGCGTTTGTGGGCACAACCCACGTCTTCCGATGAATGGAGCATTAAAAGTCCAGTTCCAAAAATAAATAAGGGATCGAGGGGGGGGAGGCAGAGAAGGGGAAAAATAGTGAATTAGAGTATTCAAGTTATAAGAAGCTGACAGAGAAGGTGCAGAGGTGAGGGAAAGCGCAGAGCAGCCCTTTCCTACTCAGGCACAGAGGCCAAAGATGACAGAGCCCTTCATATTAAAGATCAGGGCAGCTCGCAGTCTGGATTTTAAGCAAATGCCCCCAGTGACTGGGAAGGAAGGATACATATTTAAAAATAGTGAATTAGAGTATTCAAGTTATAAGAAGCTGACAGAGAAGGTGCAGAGGTGAGGGAAAGCGCAGAGCAGCCCTTTCCTACTCAGGCACAGAGGCCAAAGATGACAGAGCCCTTCATATTAAAGATCAGGGCAGCTCGCAGTCTGGATTTTAAGCAAATGCCCCCAGTGACTGGGAAGGAAGGATACATATTTACCTTTCTCTGAGCTCCTGGGTGGTGGGACTGTCCTGCAGAACTGGAAGTGTCACAGCCTTTGCATGAGCCTCTGGCTTTCAGATGCTGGGGGCCCAGCCCCAAAACTCATGAGTGAAACACACACACACCCCTCCTTGTGCAAGAAGTTTGAGCACAAACACTCACAAGCAGTTTTGGGGAGCTGAGCCCTTTGGAAACCCACTGCACAAGTGTTCTCACCTCTGGGGGGTGGCAAAACAAAAACCCCAGGGAGCTCCTCACCCCATACCCCAGCTCCTCTCCCCCAACCCCTCCACCAGTTTTTTGCCTCCCAATACTGCCCCACTTGCTTCTCCACCTGTCTGCCCCACCTCTCCCCATCTCCCCTACCCCCCCC